ATCACATATTGCAAAGTAGCTTTTTGGTCAATCTTGATTATCTTACATTTTATGACCAGGTTCAAATTAACTTTTTACACTCATCAATTATTTTATTTTACAAATTTATCCTGCTTACTACCTAGAAATCTTTGGCAACAAATAACAATGAATTTCACAAAAAAACTCCCAAACTGTACTCTTTTGAATATTATTTGTATGTGGTGATGATGTTGTTGTGGATGTTGTTGTGGATGACGATGATGATGATGATGATGATAACGTTAAATTACTAGATATATTAGAAACTGAATCTTCAACATAAATGGTTTCATTTTCATTAAGAAACTTTTCTTCCCCTTTGAAATTGTGGTTTAATTCCTCCAAGAACATCATAGAAAGCCAATCTTCAACTAAGTCTTTGTTTTGTTTTGTTGTTATTATTGTTACTGCTCCTATTTCTGCTATTCTTTCTATTACTATTTCTGTTTTGATTACAATAATAATAATATTATTAATACCTACCACTGTTATATCATTAAGTTATATTAAATAAACTATTGGTTTTTATTATACATACTAAATTATTATCATTGATTTTCCATTATTAAAGTTCCTTAGTATTAGCCTCAAAAAGTGAACAATGTAAAAATTAATTTTTTAACAAAAGTTTGGCCTTCAATAATAACAAATAAAATAAAAAAACAAGATATCATAAAAATTTTATTGTTCAAAATTTCCTTATTAAGAAAAATCAGCTAGTCTTATAAAGACTGGTCCTAAAATTCAGGACTGTGGTTCAAAGAGACCAGTTCAAAGACCGGTCCCAAGACCAGTCTTTTAAAGACCAACACAACCCTAATGAACACCACCATTAATCTCTTCATATGTCCATTATTTGTTCATGATGTTCAAATGGCTGAGCTGCTAAATAGAGTTGGTCAAAAATCCACCTCAAGCTTGGTTCTATTTCTTGGAGCAATCTTTGTATTTCATCAAAAGCATATATAGGACCTTGATGGCTCTAGTGAAATCAATCTTTTCATTTACCTCTTCCTCTTCTGCACCTGTGGTTTTTACTCTCCTAGGTTCTCTTTTTAAAGGATTTTCTACAAAATTCATATAACAAATGTTACATAAAACA